TAGTAGGTGTTTCCAAAGTGACAGGAAGCTTTCTAACTCTTAGTCTTCCTTGTTCTCTAATGCCAGTTAAAGGCAATCTAAAAAACAGTCATCACCTCTCTTACCTCTCATTTACTGTAACATCCTCCCACATTCTCTGACAAAACTTTTCACAAAACTTCCATACTTTCTAGGCATTCTTACAAATCAGGAAATTGCACTGTACAATTTTCTCATTCCATTTTTTAATGTCTCCAGTGACTTCACTTTTCTACTTTACAAAGCAAAGTGATCTAGTTTTCACTTTATGATCCTCCTTAAGCTACTAAAGCCAGCCTTTTTATTCTCATATACTGCTAAGTCATTAACTTCCATTTCTATTCCGACAATACTACTAACTTCAATTGCTATTTCTCGTATTTTCAAAGAACACATTATGCTTTCTCCCATCCTGCCTGCTATTTTTGAAAGACAGACAACCACAGGGCTGTTGTTTTAGTGTCTTCCTCCAAATCTCACCATGGAAGTCCTGACATCTTGAAAAACTCGTATAGCATGAGCTCTGGTAATAGAATTTTTATAACTATTTTCTTATACTCTGCTGTGATGTGTCCTGTGTTCTCTTATTTTCCCCAAGTACATAACATTGTTGTGCATGTACTGCTGTTGTCCTGCATGAGCAAAACAATCTAGCCACTGTCCTAGCATAAGCTGATATGATGTTGTGCTGTAAAAATGTGTTTTGGCAAAACTCTCAGTCTGTTGTTCATTCAGTTGCTTGCCCTCTAAGTTAGTTTGACATTTCTGGCAGGCAGTCTATCTGTCTTGAATTATTTTGTATACACAGCTAGGTATAATATCTGAAATAAAGCATAGCTGCATAACCTTATCTTCTTATGCGGTAATTGCTGCCTTTCTAACTTAGTACATACAGAGACATCATACAGAATTTGCATCATGAAAAAAATTCTTGGACATGAAAAACTCTCTTATACTTGCTGAACACTTAAGTTTCTTCTTAAGGAAGGTTTGGTCACACCACATTAAGTATGTGACCTGAAATCTGGCCTTTAATTACCCCATGCAAAGCTAGATATTTGGGGCATTTCTCTAGCTTTGTTTTCCACCCATTCTTCTCAGTAGAAGTCGGGGAAATGCACTAAACTACATACCAAAGTACACATGCTGTGTAACTGTGTTTGGATGCCCTCCTAAATGTGTTGCCTAATAATCCATGCAGAGGTGTGATATCACTTGCTTAACTTTCAGAGCAACTTGAATAGCACCTTGCAAAGTATGAAGAGATGGTAACAAAAATGAGACATGGATTGCTTTTTGAAAAACTGTTTTTGAATGAACAGGTGACATACATCTGAGAGAGATTATATTAATGTCTCCTTTTCAAAAACAGATTAAAACCACCTGGAGTCTCTTCATGCTTTGATGCCACTGTGGTCCATGCGGAACAGTGGAGCATAAGCCATGGGCCGTGTAAAAGAATAAACTTAAGTAAATGGAGGGAAATGGAAGAGGAAGCACCACAACCATGAAAAGAAAGAAAGAAAAAAAAGACATTTTATTGCTAGCCAAAAGGTGAACTGTAAAACAGTAAATGGAATCACATTCTGTACACAAACAACATGCAAATGTCAATATGCATTTGGCATTGCACTGTTAGCAGGGAGTGCGCGTGAAAGATTTAATCTGAACAGCTTCAGCATCTATGACATTATTTAGTGTTATTGTTGTTTCTTAACTTTGAACAGAAAGTGCAGATTACCTATATGGAACTATTTGTCTCTCAGACTATCCAAATCAAACATTCATGGAGTCATTTAATATCTTTTCATGTCTATGATTTCACATAGTAGCTGTTTGTGGTACTTTTGAGTTTAGCTAACATATTGGATAACAAACCCCTAGGGCAAGTGTTAGTGCAACTTTCAGTGAAAAAAATCATAAATGTGATATGTTTGGGGTTGACTTTACCATTGAATAATGCATCATCAATTTTTAACCATCTAATCATTTTTAGCTATCTCACACTTTCTTAAATGAGCATATCAGATTCTCTCACATGCAGAACAAGGTACCCAAAGCATATAGCCTTCTGTAAGCTGGCCACTTAGGAAGATAGATCCTTTATAGTATGTTACTGCCCATTGTGACGGCTCTTCCAACTTTCTCTGTGAAGTTGGGTACTGGTTTTGCTTAAGGGTTGTCTGAAAAGGTGGACCACTGAAACATTAAAAAGTGGAAGTCCTCATGCTTCTGTGAAAGCATTCCTGAGAATTGAAGGCAACATTCAAAAACTGTCAACTTATAAACCACAGAGAAAAAAATATTTCATAACTACACCCCCCCCACCCAAGTTTCAGCAAAAAAAATGAGATGCTATCTCTGGATTTCTAACAAGGTAAATGTCTAGGAAGAGCTTTTTCCTATGGGCAACATTTTATCTTTTATGCAGGTGGTCATATTACAAACTTGGGGTGGTAAAGGACTATGTCGCAACAAAGTTTTCTTAAGAGTACCTGTAGTGAGTCGGTAGCAAATCCAGTGAGGTTTGAAGGAGCAGAGCACACATGCCCCTTACAGGCAAGCTATCTCTGCTGGCTCCAGGGGTAAATCACAGAGCCATCCTTCTTTTACTTCCTCCTGGATTTGGAGGATTGGCACATAGTGTTCTAGCTAGGAACACTGTCTCTAATTTCAAATATATTTTGCCAAGGTTATGGGTATTGACGTGGAGCCTTTTTTTTTTTGGCCATTTTGCAAGAGGTATTGGTTAGATTCTTGAATGGAACAATGGAGAGTCCATTCAGCCAACAAAACCAGAGTTAGAAATCCTGGGTTAGTTTATCGCAATACTTTTTAATGATTTCAACCTATGATACCCAGGATCATATTCAACCAAGCTGATCTTTGGGACACAGACTTACAAGATTTGTTTTACGGACACAGTGTGTGCATTCAGACCTTAAAGCATTCCAGCATCTCTGAAGAGTCCAGATTGTTCTTAACATTCATGCCAAGTTATCAACAATTTAGAAAACAGTTGCCAAAGGTCATTCCAACTACAGCTGTTTGGAAACACAGAGGGGTTTATTGATCTTTTCCTTTGCATAGCACCTTAAAAAAATATTAATACGTCATGGAAATAAAGACCATGACAAATGCTTATCATGACTTGGCCAAAGGTTGGGCGGAGGGGGGGATGGGACATGTGTTTATCAGGGTTCGGTTGAGGGTGAAAGACTCCACTATAACGCTATTGTTAGGTCCCTGTTTAGTAATACTGTTCTGATGATGTGCCTTTGACCTGGCACTATACTTGCCTCTCAACAAATTAGGGAGGCTGGCTCATCTGGTTGGGAAAGAGCTCATTAGGCATGGCAGTTTAGGTGGCACAAATTTCACAGCTCCAAAGCAATCTGGAGCCCTCCCAGAAATACAGGTATCATATTCAAATAAATCACTAATCCCAGAGGCCAGCTCTGACTGCTTTTATGAAGAACTGTGAATCATGATCTTTAGGAAAACTAAATGGCTGCTATCCAATTTAGCAGCTGGATTATATTAGTTCACATTTTTAAGGACAAAGGTTATAATAACAAGATCTTGTGTTACTCAATTTACTCAATTAGGTAACATAGTTACCTTAATGGTTCTGTAACAGTTTGCTGGTGTTAGGAGTGATATAATTTGTTTCTTCTAGGTAATACAAAAGAAGGGAATTCCGTACATAAAAGAATCCTAGCAGAAAACAGGCAGCTGGGGTGAGAGATGGGGCAAAATAGGCACACTGTTGCTGAGAAGCAAGGAAAAATGTCAACAGACATTTATGATAGAGGTGAAGTCTGCCTTAGAGTACTTCAGGCCTTGAAAGCACAAGCAAGAAGTTTAAACCTGATACACCAGGCAAAAGAAAACAGAGAACGCAAAAGACAAGTGTGTGTGTGTGTGTTAATACACACAGGCACATACATGATGTACATATGTTTGTAGAGCTTAGGACTGGAACAAAGGTTTTTTCCCCATCTACCCAACACTCCACAATATGGGATAATATTTGTAAAGCTCGTAACAGGCTAATGAACAAGAAAATTGATTTCAGTTTTTAGATCATTAAGGTTGCGCTTGTTTCTACTGTAGGGTGATATATCTTTGTATTGATAAATTTTAGTTGCATATAATTCACATTATGGAGCAGAACTTGGCTTATAAGCTTAAAAGCTGTTAAAAGATTTTTTAAGGTACAAGCTACGTTATCCACAGACCTAAGAATTTCTAGAAAGCACTTTTCTATATGTCTAATACCCATAATGTTTAGTGGCTGCTTTTTCGTACAAATAGATTCTACTTACTGGCAGAATGAGAGGGAGAAGGCTGGTGGGGTATTTTGAAGTGTGAAAAAGGGCTCTGTGCTTGTTTTTTTCGAGGCTGAACTTTCAATTCCTCACCCTGCTGCTCACGCAACTTGGGCCAACCAAAGCGCACACAGCCGTAGGAGCTGCCAAGAGCCCTTATCGAAGCTTGTAGCCGCTTCTCACGCGATTTATGGAGGCGCAAAGGCTCTCCCCCCCGCACGGCCGCCCTCCGAGGGGAGCTGGAGCTGCCCCGGGAGCCCTTCCCCGGGGGCCGCCGGGCGAGAGCCGGCCCTCGCCGGAAAGCCCGGGGGGCTGACGAGGGGACGAAGCCGGTCTCCTCTCTGGCCCTTGATCTCGGGGGTTCGTCCAGGCACTCGGGAGAAGGATTTAATGACCTGCTCCACCCCTGCCCCCCCCGCCCAGGCAGCTCCGGGCGGCTCTCGGTCACACGAGAGGGGAGCGGGGGGGAATGAGCCGCCGCGGCGGCGGGAGGAGGAGGAGGAGGAGGGAAGGAGGGCGGGGGGGCAGGCGGGAGGGAGGGAAGGAGCGAGCGAGCGAGCGAAGGAGGGAGGAAGGAAGCCGGGCAGGTGACACCGAGCTAGGTTGCTCCGGCTCGGCGGGCGCGGGGCCGGCGGCAGCGGCGCGGCCACCATGCACGTCAATGGCAAGGTGGCCCTGGTCACCGGCGGGGCGCAGGGCATCGGCAGGGCTTTCGCCCAGGCGCTGCTGGGCAAGGGCGCGAAGGGAAGCCCCGGCAGGGGGGGGGTGCGGGCCAGGCGGGTGGG